GGCCCGCATTGTCACTGAATCCCATACCACACCAAGGAAAGTGGTTCTCTGTACTGGAGAAAGCACACTCTTCTTGGCATTGAGCCTCAACCCCAACATCTGCATATGAGCGAGAACGACACCTCGGTGCCGAACCGCTAACTTTTCTGATTCCGCTAGAATCAGCCAGTCATCTATGCAATTCAGAATGCGTATACACTGCACCCTGGCGGGGCCAGAGCTGCGTCTACACACTTCGTGAATGTGCGGGGTGATAGAGCTAGACCGAAAGGAAGTGCCTGATACTGGTGTTCTTTGCCCCAAAGAAAACCTCAGGAACCTCCTGTGCTGAGGGAGGATGGAGATATGGAAGTATACATCTTTTAGATCTATCGTGACAAACCAGTCCTCGGATCTGATTTAAGTCACGATCTGTTTGAGTGTCAGCATCTTGGACTTGAGTTCCAGCACCAAACACTCCAAAAGACGAAGATCTAGTATGTGACGCAGCTCTCCATCCTTTTTTGGAACAATGAGATAACGACTGTAAAGACCCGACGCAATGTCGGGTGAGTACACCTGCTCTATAGCTTTCTTTGCTAACAGGGCCTTTACCTCTTGCTCCATTACCAGAGAGATTACCATTACCCATAGAGATATATTTGGCAGTAGCTTCCGCGCTGCCAGAAAATCTACCAAGGGAACCAGCCCCTCGAGGCTGGCCTCTGGTGTAATAAAGACAGCCAGTTTTCGAACCCCCCTCAGAGGGCGCGAGTCCGACGCAATGTCGAGTTGACGCTGCGCCAGAAGCTCGCTGGAGAACGCTGCGCCCCGAAGCACCAAGGGTGGCGGGGTTGGCAGAACGGTCCCCTGAGGGCACCGAGATGGAAAGGGCACCGTATAATGAGGTGTACACCATTCCACCCCGGTTGGGGCTGCCCTCACCGGTCTGACGCTGGTGGCGCCAGACCTTTTCTTTTGAGCCGCAGCCTTCTCAGCATGAAGAACGGTCCTCGGATCCGGCTTCTGCTTTGAAGGCTTTGGCTGCTGTGTTGTGTATGAGAAACTAGCCGGCTGGAGCTGCTCACGCCCAGCAGCCCCAGGGGGTTGGACATAGCGAGGGAGAGATTATCTTGTATCTTTCTCCATGATTCCCATCAAATTGAGCCAGAGGTGTCTCTCAGTGACCACAAGGGCTGCCATCCCTGAGAGATAAATCTGAGGCCCGACGGAGTTCTCAAACCCCATCGGGCCAAACTCCCTCACTTCTGTCCAAATACCACAGCAGGTCAGCCTGATATGCTTGCAGCACTGCTATAGTGTGCAAGCAGGCTCATGCTAGACCCACTGCCATATATGCTTTTCCCACTAGATTAAAAAATAGTTTTCTTTAATGGTTTAGTGAGAGAAGCCGACGCCTTCAGGGACGATACTGAACCGGGAGACAGATAGCTCGCAAGTGTCTGTTCTACCCGGGGTATTGCCCCATAGCCATACTCTCTTAACCCCCAAATATCTGAATATACATGAATCTGGGGCTAAAAGATGAGTAAGGCTTTTTCCATGATCTAGACAGCTCGCTGTGCAGATCGGGAAAAATGGAAGGCCCCATGATGGAGGTGGAAAAATAGAGGGAAGGAAACTCGTTCAAATTATTTGAAGGACGAGTGCCCCCTTATTTCTGCTGGCCATTAAATATTTAATTTATCTACAGCCATAGTAAACATCTCCACCACTTATTATTATTATTTTTTTATATATACATTCTTTATATATATTCACTTTATTTTATATATAATATATAAACTATCATATATATATATATATAGGCTATATATATTTCTCATACGCTGGGGAAGAGATGGCAAATCCACTTCCCCCATGATTGTGTCACTTTCAATGCCCAGCACATCTACCTCCTCGGAGGTAGAGCACTGAAGCATTGATTTCTCTCCCCGGGCGGAAGAGACCGCAGCGCGGGCTTCCGAGACCGGCGAGAGAGCACTGGATCCCTCGTAGAAAGGGAGGAGATAAGATCCGCGGACCCGTCTCCAACCCCGTAAAGAGATCCTATTCGCGATCCACAGGAATGCATTCTCCGCGCTGCCTCGGCAGACGCGGGTCCTGCACCCTGAGGATCGCGAGCCTGGCCACTTTCCTCGAAAAGTGCCAGGCGAGAGCGGAGCAAACTACACAAAGCTCGTGTGTGTCCCCACCCGTTAAATAACGCGGGCAGGTAGAAGCACAGAGTTTGTAAAGTTGTTTCGCCATAACTCTTCCCAATAATATCGAACAGACAACAATAAATAGACAGAGACAGAGTAACACAGATCGCTTGCTGAGACACAGAAGCTAATGCCGGTTTTCACCGGATGTGCTTTATCCCTTCCTGGTCATGACGTCACCCGCCCGTGACGCTCATTCTTTCCATTGGACTAGTTGACATTGATGCTCAGACGCATTCACGCTGGGGGCGTTCCCAAAGCGTCGAAGACGCATCGCGAGTTCCCTCGAAAGGGAACAAAACAAAACGAATGGGCCAATGTACGAGTTTTATGGGCCACTAAGACAAAATAAATAAATAATAAAAGTATGATGTATCGGCCCAAAAAGCACGTGGAATCTCTACCATCCTGGGGGGAAAGAATTCGCTCCCGGTAGTCCCGATGGCCAGCATGCCTGTGCTGTGCACAATACTAAGTAAAAAAAATTCGTTTGACACCTAAATGGCTGAGATGAGAAGACTTACCTCTATGCTGGGCTTTCTTTTTATCTTGTTGTTTTCTCCGGTTTCGTCCCTGTGCATCAGAGGGTTTCGATCAACGCGCCAGCAGCTGAGCACTTGCCTAACGTAACGTAACGTAACCCCCCCGTTAGGAAACTATCGACAATAAACGTGTGGCTGAGGGGGCACCTTAGGATGATCATGTTTAATAAACGTGTTTTCGTTTCGCTTGTCATTCTAATTCTGTTATTAATGGGAAGTAGGCCAAGGGCGACATTAGAGGGTGCCCGCGCGCCGCGCCCCCTACACATTTGTCGCCCTAGGCAACCGCCTAGTTCGCCTATAGCAATCGCCGGCCCTGCCCACGAGAGCGTGGTATCGACAACGCTGATATTATTAGATCACTGTACTGTGGAATATCGGTGACGCGAAACTTGCTTACACTTGCTAAGAAAATTTCCCCTTTAAAGGCGAGCTAACCGGCCCCGATGCAGTCTGCAGATCAGTAGTGAACTCTGCCGCTGGTGTAGGAAGCAACGGAGAAATACTTACCTGGATGAAGTTTAATCACGATAGAGGGGACATATTAACAGTGGCTGGTGGAAGCGCCTACCAAACTTGAAAAACCGACTTGAAAGCCTTGGAAGTGGAGCTTGAACTTGAACCAGCGAGAGAAGATCGCCTCTCGTGACTTGTAAAGTTGTTGATTCATGTCGGTGGATCGGTGGATCTGCAGGATAATGCACCCGTGCAGACAGCGAGGTTCTTTTGCTGGACAAGTTGTTGAGGATGACATAGTTCTCTTCCTGCCGGATTATCCTGGCTGAGCTGACGCTGTTGAGGTTTTTGATGACGTGAAAATGGAAACTGATTGGTTACCCAGGGTGTTTTAGGCCTAGAGAGCAGAACTTCTCATGAGAGGCCTTGGCTGATCAAAAACTCTCCGAAGACCACTGTGCATACGAGGAGATGCGGCACTGAACGCGGGAACCTCGACATGTAGCAGGAGATACAGCGGGACATATCCATCGTCGGAACTCAATAATAGTAAACAATATGCGTGTCCTGAAACATGTTGGCTGGCGACTGAACGAGAGCATGAATGAAAGCGTCAGCATCTGCGAACTCAAACATGTGTAAGTACTGGTCTTTTATACCGCAAGTATTAGACACGATTGGATAGATGAGAAGGTAATAAGTGACGTAGCAATTGAGTCTTCCTGGCAGAACTTAACGCTAAAGCTTCCATTTCTTGCATGCCCAGCATACTCACCGGACATGTCACGCATTGAGCATGTTTGGGATGCTCTGGATCGGCGTTTACGACAGCGTGTTCCAGGTCCTGCCAATATCCAGCAACTTCGCACAGCCATTAAAGAGGAGTGCACCAACATTCCACAGGCCACAGTCAACAACCTGATCAACTCTATGCGAAGGAGATGTGTTGCACTGCGTGAGGAAGATGGGGATCACACCAGATACTGACTGGTTTTCTCCAATCCACACAGCTAGGCCAATCAAGTTGTGGATGAAGAACCACCAGATCAAGACCCTGTCATTGCCATCACAATCTCCAGACCTGAAACCCACTAAAAACCTCTGGAATGTAAGCAAGAGGGTCACCAGCCATCAAATAAAGCCATGCTTTAAATTTTTCACCAGGAGTGGATTAAAGTCACCCAACAGCAATGTGACCTACTGATAGGGAGCATGCCAAGACGCATGAAAGCTGTGAATGGAAATCAGGCTTAGTCCACCAAATATTGATTTCTGAACTCACCTAAGTTAAAACAGAATTGTGTTGTTTAAAAGTGAATATAAACTTGTTTTCTTTGCATTATTTGAGGTCTGAAAACAGAAAATCTTTTTTCGTTATTTTGACCAGTAGTCATTTTCTGCAAATAAATGCTCTAAATTACTATAATTCTATTTGAACTTTGCATGAAATGTTGTCAGTAGTTTGTAGAATAAATAAAAAAATATTCATTTTACTCAAACAAATACATATAAATAATAAATCCAGAGAAACTGTTAATTTTGCAGTGGACTCATGATGAATTAGGCAAAGATAACTTTTGCTGATCAACTTTCTGGCAAATGATGACAAATACAAAATTGATGTTGGTCATTGCTCTTGACGGTGACATGACAGGACAGGGTAACCTAATCTCTAATTGATATTGATGTTCAGATAGGTTGACCCAACAGTCTTTTTATGTTTAAATACATCTGTTAATAATTCATTTAAAAATTAATACTTGGTCAGCAATAAAGTAATATAAAAGATCTGATTCTCTGAGTAGCTCTTCACAAACCATCAGCCATGAGAGCTGTTGTGCTTGCCCTGACTGTAGCCCTTGTGGGTAAGTTTTGTTTTCGAACTTAAGAAGTTCCTGTATCTCTTTTCTTAAAATATTTATCTTTAAGAAAGTAAATTAGAACCTCTTAAAAATAAATTAGTTAAATTAAGTCATTTTCAAAGCATATTTTCTCATTTGTTTCTTTTAGCATGTCAACAGATCAACCTTGGTAAGTAACAAAATTGTAATTTGGTAATTTGTAAATAGCATACTTGCTTAAACTCAACCAAATAAATACTCTACCATTTTCAGTTCCTGAGTTTGCCCCTGATAAGACCTATGTGTACAAGTATGAGGCTCTGCTCTTGGGTGGTCTTCCTCAAGAAGGTCTGGCCAGAGCAGGAATAAAAGTCAGCAGCAAGGTTCACATCAGTGCCGTGACAGAGAACACCTTCATGATGAAGGTAATGACCATTATGTTCAACAGTAAGGAAAAACTAAAACTGCGTTAGCAAGCATTGACTGTTAACCCTTTCGTGCGTACAATCACACTGGTGTGATCAGTCTTGGCTGGTCCCTGGAGTGTACGATCACACCGGTGGGATTAGAACGGTCAGTGCATCAAGTGATCAACTGCTAAATTCAAACGTGCTTTCGTGAGTTGGCTGGCGCTGAGCCAGAGATGGACGTGCTCAGTGCTGTCATATATCACAACTATTCAGTGTTTTCAACCACATAATGTTTACTTTAGGTTTCAGACATTTAAATACACATAAGTACTAGCAAAACAATGATTTTGAGTTTGTAAAATACACACTGATGTCTATGGAAGCGGCATAATAATCCTTTCCATTATAATAAGACGACACGTTTTATTCATATCAAATACACATTGTGTAAGTAGCTTTACATTTTACCCTATTCTTATCCCAGTTCACCGGCCACTTACTTTCATGTATTTCGTGAGAAGTGGAGGAATTGACGTGTTGTAAATCCAACTGATCCGATCATCTGAACTGCGTCTGCGGATACCGCATACAGCTCAACTAACGCGATAGTTATAAAGGTGTTTAAACAACAAAACACATCCACTTGTACATATTTGACAATCGGAATATCAGTGTTTCATGCTATAGCTAGTACATGTGTGAATATTTTGAATAAAAAAGGAAAAATGACATAAAAGCAGATCATCATTGATTCAGCGCTGTGTTGTGGTTGCGCTGTGTCACGTGACAAGCAATGACGCGTCACCATGGAAACATTAAAGTGTCAGGTTCTAAATAACAGTCGCCTTGAAAAACTCACCCTGGGGGGGTCAGTTATAATATTTTAAACTTACGTGTGATAGGGTTAAAAGCAACAATTCCCTTGTTTAAAAGTGAAATTATTCCTTTTCAGCTCATGGATCCTCTACTCCACGAGTATGCTGGCATTTGGCCCAAGGATCCATTTGTTCCTGCCACTAAGCTCACCTCAGCTCTGGCTGCTCAGCTTCAGATTCCCATTAAGTTTGAGTATGCTAATGGTGTGGTTGGAAAGGTATTCGCCCCAGCAGGAGTTTCCCCTACAGTACTGAACCTGCACAGAGGAATCCTCAACATCCTTCAGCTCAACCTCAAGAAGACCCAGAACATCTATGAGCTGCAAGAGGTAAGAAAGTGATCCTGGTATGTATTTGATCTTTTTTGAGTTCTGCAATCTAATTTTTTTACTTTTCCTTCAAGGATGGAGTTCAGGGAGTGTGCAGGACCCACTACGTCATCAATGAGGATACAAAGGCCAACCACATTATTGTCACCAAGTCTAAGGATCTGAACCACTGTCAGGAGAGAGTCATGAAGGACGTCGGTTTGGCATACACTGAGAGGTGTACTGAATGCACAAAGGTAATGAAAAAGACGAGAAACACTTGAAATATTTACTCGATATAATGAAAACGTCTCAGGTTACTACTGTAACCATAGTTCCCTGAGAAAGGGAACGAGACGATGCGTCACTTGACGCTTTGGGAACGCCCCCAGCGTGCATGCGTCTGAGCATCAATGTCAACTAGTCCAATGGAAAGAATGAGCGTCACGGGCGGGTGACGTCATGACCAGGAAGGGATAAAGGCTCACCCGGTGAAACGCGGCATTAGCTTCAAAAAGTCGAAGCAAGCCGATCACAGGGAAGCAGGAAGTATGGCAGGGTGACGCATCGTCTCGTTCCCTTTCTCAGGGAACTATGGTTACAGTAGTAACCTGAGACGTTCCCTTTCGAGGGAACTCGCGATGCGTCACTTGACGCTTTGGGAACGAGAATACCCAAACCGCCAGAATTCCAAGTACCTGAGTGTCAGTCTGTTGGAACTAAGCACTAAGCACCTGAGAACCTGGGGCAGCATCCAGGTCCAAACTGTAAAACCTGACGAATGTGAGCGGTGAGGACCAGCCTGCCGCATCACAAACGTCTTGGAGGGAAACCCCAAATAACAAGGCTTTAGAGGCCGCCATACCCCTCGTTGAGTGAGCTCTGACCACCAAGGGACACGGATGGTCAGAGTACTCGTATGCAAGTGAAATAGCCTCGACTATCCACTTGCTAACCGTCTGTTTAGAAGCAGGAAGACCCTTCTTAGGTGATCCAAAGCAAATAAATAACTGGTCGGACTTCCTCATAGACGATGTCCGATGAACATAAGTATCCAGTGCTCGCACTGGACACAAGAGGTTCAGCCTTTCCTGGTCCGCAGATGTAAAAGGAGGACAGAAACCTGCAGCACAATAGGCCTCGGAATAATGGTAGGCACCTTTGGAACATATCCATGTTTCGGGTAAGAATGCCTTGGCCATCCCCGGTGCACTCAAGGCAGGAGGGGACCGAAAGGGCCTGAAGGTCTGACTCTAATAGGGACGAAATAGCTAGCAGAAAATAGTCTTAAAAGAAAGGAACTTCTCTGAGACCAAATCTAAGGGCTCGAAGGGAGCCCCAGATAGGCCTTCTAGAACTATTGCAAGGTCCCAAGCCAGCACCCTAGTGCAAGTTGCAGGCCTCAGCCTCAAAGTGCCACGAAGGAAACGAGTGATCAGGGGGTCTCGACCCAAAAATGTACTACCCACCAGGGCGTGGAAAGCCGCAATGGCCGCCACGTATACCTTAAGCGTGGAAGGACACAGACCTGATACAAAGCGTTCTTGCAGAAACTCGAATACTGTGTTTACTGAACAGTTAACCGGATCCCACTGACGCTGGTAACACCAAGAAGTGAAAAACTCTCGAAATAGTGAATATAGTTTCCTCGTAGCGGGAGCTCTGGAGCTTAGAATGGTCTCAACAACCTCGGTTGAGAGACCACTCTCTATGAGTTGGGCCCCCTCAGAGGCCAAACCCACAGTTTCCAAATCCCCTGCCGGGGGTGCAATATTGCATCCCCTGCCTGAGACGGAAGGTCTCTCCTGATCGGGACCTCCAAGGGAGGTCCGTCGAGGAGAAAAATTAGGTCCGCAAACCAAATTCAGCTCGGCCAGGGTGGTGCTACTAAATAGGCTTATTCCATCCTGGCGGAATCACTCCAGAACTCCTGGGAGCAGAGCAACAGGGGGAAATGCGTACAGACGTAGCCTCAGCCACGTCTGCAACATAGCAACCAGCCCCGTGGGGACTGGTTGAGTGAGGGATAACCAGAGTGGACAGTGCGTCGTACTTTTGCTGAGACGAGAACAAATCCACTTCTGCCTGGCCATAAAACTCCCATATTTGCTCCACCGCCTCGGGGTGGAGTCCCCTGGCCTCAGCCCCTGCCTCGACAGGGTGTCTGCTCCAATATTCTGCCCCCCCTGGAATATACACTGCCCTCAGACAGCGTAATTTCCTGAGGGACCAAAATAATAGGCCACCAACGTGTTGTCTGTGGGTCAAGAACCAGAGTTTCCTCCATATAACCAAGGCGCGGGGATACTGCCGCGTGATCTTGATCGTACGGAGTGGGTTTCCCCTCAGGGAGAACCGTCTGGTCCTGAGCCACCACTGTAAAGGTCTCACGTACAGCAGGTCAAAGGGTATCACATTGAACGCTGCTGCCCTGAGGCCTAACAGTCACTGTTTCAGAACAACACATGATGGCCCCTCAGGTCTGGGAGGAGATGTCTCAACGCATTGAAGACGACCATCATCTCTAGGCAATTCATGTGCCAAGCGAGATGATGACTCCTCCCAAGCCCTGAGCTGAGCGGCCTTCCAATACCGCTCCCCAGCCGGTGAGGGAAGCATCTGTCGAGATAGCAACTCGATGGCAAAGAGCTCCCAACACCGAACCCTGGGTTAAGAACCAGTGTTTCCTCCATATAACCAAGGCACGAAGGCAAGGCCGCGTGATCTTGATCATACGAAGTGGGTTTCCCCTCGGGGAGAACCCTCTGGTCCTGCGCCACCACTGCAAAGGTCTCATGTACAGCAGGCCAAAAGGTATCCCGTTGGACGCTACTGCCACAAGACCCAACAGTCTCTCAAACTGTTTTACAGTGCGTGACTGGCCTAGCTTTAGCTCTATGGTGGCTGTCAGGATAGCAGCTACACGAACGGGCGATAAAGTGGCCCGCATCGTCACTGAATCCCATACCACACCAAGGAAAGTGGTTCTCTGTACTGGAGAAAGAACACTCTTCTTGGCATTGAGCCTCAACCCCAACATCTGCATATGAGCGAGAACGACACCTCGGTGCCGAACCGCCAACTGCTCTGATTCCGCCAGAATCAGCCAGTCGTCGATGTAGTTCAGAATACGTATGCCCTGAAGCCTGAGAGGGGCTAGAGCTGCATCCACGCATTTCGTGAACGTGCGGGGTGATAAAGCTAGACCGAAAGGAAGAACCCGATATTGGTATTCTTTGCCCCCGAAAGAAAACCTTAGGAACTTCCTGTGCTGAGGGAGGATGGAGACATGGAAGTAGGCGTCCTTCAGATCTATCGTGACAAACCAGTCCTCGGATCTGATTTGAGTCACGATCTGTTTGAGTGTCAGCATCTTGAACTTGAGTTTCTGTACTGAACGATTCAACAGACGAAGATCTAAAATGGGACGCAACCCCCCATCCTTTTTTGGAACAATGAAATAACGGCTGTAAAAACCCGACTCTCTGTCGGGTGAGTACACCTGTTCTATAGCTTCCTTTGCTAACAGGGCCTTTACCTCTTGCTCCATTACCAGAGCCTGCTCGGGATGCACCACTGTGGGCAGCACCCCGTTGTAACGAGGAGGACGAGAACCAAACTGGATTCTTTATCCTTTCTCTACAATCTGCAGGACCCAATGAGAAATATTCGGCAGAAGCTTCCACGCTGCCAGAAAATTTACTAAGGGAACCAGCCTCTCGAGGCTGGTCTCTGGTGTTATCGAGACAGCCAATTCCGGAGCCTGAAACATAATGGCAGGAACTACCTGAACTGGCCGCTCTAAGGCCCCCCTCAGAGGGCGCGAAACCGATGCTGTGCCGCAGCATAGCATCAGCGACTCGCTGGAGACCGCTGCGCCCTGAAGCACCAAGGGTGGCAGGGTTGGCAGAACGGTCTCGTGAGGACCCCGAAATGGAACGGGCACCGTATAATGAGGTGTACACCGCTCCACTTCGGTCGGGGCTGTCCTCACAGGCCTGATGCATGAACATCAGGACCTTTTTTTTTTTTTTTGAACCGAAGTCTTCTTCGCCTGAAGAACGGTCCTCAGATCCGGCTTCGACTTAGAAGACTTCGGTTGAGAGGGTTGCGTCCGTCTCCAGTCTCTACGTGGAGGTGCACGAGACGCAACACTCTCTTTCTGATGCACACGATATGATGAGCTCGACGGCTGGGGCTGCTCACGCCCAGCAGTCCCAGGGGGCTGGACCCGGCGAGGGAGAAACTTTTTAAAAACGTCCGCTTGCTTCTTTGACTCCTGAAATCTCTCGACGACCGCGTGGACTGCGTCGCCGAAGAGACCAGAAGGTTCAAGCGGAGCATCTAATAAAAAAGCTCGATCTTTTTCTTTAATATCAGACAGATTTAACCATAAATGTCTCTCAGTAGCTACCAAGGCTGCCATAGACCGCCCAATTGCTCTGGCGGTCTCCTTAGTAGCCCTGAGAGAAAGATCGGTAGCCCGACGAAGTTCACGAATATCATCATGACTGACTCCCTCACTACTATCCAGATCCCCCAGCAGGTCAGCTTGATAAGCCTGGAGCACTGCCATAGTATGCAGACATGCTCCAGCTTGACCTGCTGCCGTATAAGCTTTGCCCACTAACACCGAAGTGGCTTTAAGCGGTCTAGTGGGCAAAGCCGAGGCTTTCAGAGACGATGCGGGACCAGGGGAAAGATAACTGGCTAAATTCTCTTCCGCCTGGGGCATCGCCTCATAACCATACTCTTTCAGCCCTCTTATTCTCGAATAAGTGTTAACATGAGGGCTGAAAAGACGTGATGAATATGGTTTATCCCACGATTTAGAAATTTCATTGTGCAAATCGGGAAAAAATGGAAGCCCTCGTGGTGGAGATAATGTGGTGGAAGATAAAAAGCGCTCATCTAATTTGCTTTTGGGACGAGCGCCCTTCTTCTCAGATGGCCATTCAATATTTAACTTCTCTACAGCCCGCGACATAACATCCACCAGCTCATCATATGCTGGGGAAATAAATTGTGAATCTCTTTCCCCAATGTGTGTGCTTACACTCTCCACACTCATCGCATCAACCTCCTCGGAGGAAGAGCAATAAAGTAATGGAGGGCTCTCTCCCCGGGCGGAAGAAACCGCAGAGCGTGCTTCCGACACCGGGGAGAGAGCACTGGATCTCTCGGGTAAGGAAGGAGAAAGAGCCCTCGGACCCGTCTCCAACCCCTCCGAAAGATCCTTTTGCGATCCCCAGGAATGCATTCTCCGCGCTGCCTCAGCAGACGCGGGTCCTGATCCCTGTGGATCGCGAGCCTGCCCACTCTCTTTATCAAAGAGTGACAGGCGAGAGCGGAGCATGCGAAGCGGTAACATCTCACAATGCTGGCACTCAGCCCCCTCGAAGGCTGAGACCGCATGCTCCACTCCCAAACAAACGACACAAAGCTCGTGTGTGTCCCCACCCGTTAAATAACGCGGGCAGGGAGAAGCACACTGTTTGTACACTTGTTTAGTTTCCATCCTTTTCCGCAACAGACAACAGTAAATAGACAGAGACAAAATGACACAGATCGCTTGCTGAGACACAGAAGCTAATGCCGCGTTTCACCGGGTGAGCCTTTATCCCTTCCTGGTCATGACGTCACCCGCCCGTGACGCTCATTCTTTCCATTGGACTAGTTGACATTGATGCTCAGACGCATGCACGCTGGGGGCGTTCCCAAAGCGTCAAGTGACGCATCGCGAGTTCCCTCGAAAGGGAATGCCAAGAGTCAAGTGGTCACATACCTTTCACCCAACAGAGGGTCAAGAGTCTGATTGAAACTGCATCTTACAACTACATCATGAAACCATCTGCCGCCGGTGTACTGATCGCTGAAGCCACAGTTGAGGAAGTGCATCAGTTTTCACCCTTCAATGAGATCCATGGTGCTGCCCAGATGGAAGCAAAGTGAGATTGATCCTCTGTGAGATTTCCCTTAAAAAAATGACGTAACAATATTACTAATAAATAAATATATATATATTTTTTTTTTCAGACAAACCTTGACTTTTGTTGAGATGGAGAAGACGCCTGTTGTTCCAGTCAAAGCTGATTACTTGGCCCGTGGATCCTTGCAGTATGAGTTTTCAACAGAAATTCTTCAGACCCCCATTCAACTCATGAAGATCAGTGATGCACCCGCTCAGGTATAATTCATTACTTAACATCTTTAAAAGTCTCCAAGTCAAAGCCTTTGATCCACGAAGACGTCATCTAAGTGTTGCCCTTACTCTTTCTAGATTACTGAGGTCTTAAAGCACCTTGTTGAAAACAATGTGGCCATGGTCCATGATGATGCTCCACATAAGTTTCTTGAGCTCATCCAGCTCCTGCGTGCTGCCACCTTGGAGAATATTGAGGCCATCTGGGCTCAGTTCAAAGACAAACCAGTTTACAGGTACAATGTTTGAGCAATAAGTTCATAGCAATATAGTTCAAGGGAAATTTGTATTATGAATATATTTTGAAAACAATGAATCTGTTAGGCGCTGGCTTCTGGATGCTCTTCCTGCTGTTGGCACACCAGTCATTGTAAAATTCATCAAGGAGAAGTTCCTGGCTGGTGAACTTACCATTCCTGAGTTCATTCAGGCTCTTGTGGTTGCTCTGCAAATGGTCACTGCTGATTTGGACACCATCCAGTTAACAGCTGTGGGTAGATCTTATACTATACTCAAAGTGCTGTTCTTCAAATCTTACCAGAATCAAATTAATCATTTCTGTATGTTGCTGAACAGAGTTTGGCTATGCATGAGAAAATCGCCACAATCCCAGCTCTGCGTGAAGTCGTCATGCTTGGATATGGTTCCATGATTGCCAAACACTGCATTGCAGTTCCCACTTGCCCCGCTGAGCTCCTCAAGGTAAACACCTCAAGACATCCATAAATTTCTGTCATGGACATACTATAATATTTTGTATTTGTCTAACTGTATGTGCCTCAAACTCCTCAGCCCATCCATGATATTGCTACAGAGGCCATTTCTAAGAATGACATTCCTGAAATCACTTTGGCTCTGAAAGTCCTGGGCAATGCTGGTCACCCTGCTAGTCTTAAAACCATCATGAAGCTCCTACCTGGACTGAGAACTGCAGCTACTTCTCTGCCTCTTAAAGTCCAGGTTGATGCCATCTTGGCTCTGAGGAACATTGCCAAGAAAGAGCACAAACTGGTAAGTGTCAGACACTGTAGGAATCAATTACTGTAAAGATTACACACATTTTCATTCAATAATATACTAACCTTGTTTTCTGCCTCAGGTTCAGCCAGTGGCCCTGCAGCTTGTATTGGACAGGGCTCTCCACCCTGAAGTGCGTATGGTTGCTTGTATTGTGTTGTTCGAGGCCAAGCCCTCAGTGGCTCTCGTCTCCAATCTTGCTGGTGCTTTGAAGACTGAGACTAACATGCATGTTGCGAGCTTTGCCTATTCCCACATGAAGTCCTTGACCAGAATCACTGCACCTGATATGGCATCTGTGTAAGAATAACAAATCATTTTCCACATATTTTAATTTAACAGACAGAATTGAGCACAAGCCAGAGGTAATTATGGTTTGTCCATTTCAGTGCGGGTGCAGCTAATGTTGCCATCAAGCTCATGAGTCGCAAACTGGACAGGCTTAGCTTCCGTTTCAGCAGAGCCATTCAGCTGGACTTCTATCATAGTGAGTCTTGCAATTTTTTGAGAGAGATATAAAAAATGGTTTATTGGGTGTTTCTGAAAATGTGTCAAAAATTCTCCTGACACATTAAATGTATTCTTACCTCTGTCCCTGTGCAGCTCCTCTTATGATTGGAGCTGCTGGTAGTGCCTACATGATCAATGATGCTGCCACCATCCTGCCCAGAGCTGTTGTAGCTAAAGCACGTGCTTACCTGGCTGGAGCTGCTGCTGATGTTCTTGAGGTGGGACAACTAAGACTTTAAAAAAAAAAACTGATTCGTGGTTTTAAAATATTTTCAGTCTTCACTCAATTGATCCTTTCAAACAGATCGGTGTGAGAACTGAAGGAATCCAGGAGGCTCTTCTGAAATCTCCTGCTGCAGATGAAAGTGTTGACCGTATGACAAGGATCAAGCGCACACTGAGAGCTGTAAGTTTTATTCAGTGTTGGGAAAGTTAATTTTCTACATGAACTAGTTCAAAGTTCAGTTCACAAATTTTAAAATGAACTAGTTCAGTTCATAGTTCATACTTCAAAAAATGAACTAGTTCATAGTTCTTTTTTTTCCATATGTTGCTACAAGCTATTATTTTTTTTTTCAATTATTGCCACAGCCCATATACAACCACAGACAGCAATTATTTTATCGGCGGCAAAGTTTGCACAGAAATGTAAGATTTTTCCCATCCTCACTGACCTTGTCATACAACTCGTTTAAATCATACGACGCCTCCTCGCTCGCTGCTTTGTCGAATACATGCTGCTTCTTGTCTTGATGACGCATGTGGCGGCCGCGGTGCGACACTGGTGGCTGGTGTTGCCAGATTGGGTGTTTTTTCGCTACATATTAAGGCCTGTTTACGCATGTTTTAGCCGGGTTTTCGCCTGGAAGGCTCTATAGAAATCTGGCACCCTATTGAACGAAGTTAAACTGAGAGAGCGTGCGTCTACAGACACCAGAATGAACGCGTTCACCGTAACGTTCATCAGGCAGTAATACAGTACGTTCAGTTCACGTTCGCCCAAAATATGAACGAGTTCATGAACTATCGTTCATTGAACGCGTTCAGGTACAACACTGCCAGTGTACAATATAATTGTGTACTTTTAAGAACTATAATAAACATGATATAGACAAAATGTATATCACTTCTCTGTTTTAACACCTCAAGCTCACAAACTGGAAGGACTTTCCAACCAATCAGCCATTGGCTTCAGCCTATGTCAAATTACTTGGACAAGAAGTGGCTTATTTCAACATTGACAAGACAATAATTGAAGAAGCAATACAGGTATGGCGTTTTAGCTCATGTCTACTCTCTCATTATCATATTTTTTTTTAGATCTGTCTCACAAATAATTCTCACAATTAGAATTAAGTTTCTCATAAACACCATCCCCAGATGGCCACTGGACCCAAACCACGTGAACAGTTGAAGCATGCCCTTAAAGCTTTGCAGGAAGGAATTGCCTTCCAGCATGCCAAACCCCTGCTTGCATCTGAAGTGCGTCGTATCTTGCCAACAGCAGTTGGTGTGCCCATGGAGCTCAGTTTGTACACTGCTGCTGTTGCTGCTGCAAGTCTCAATGGTATGTTTTTTTCTTAGAATGTTTTATCCTTTCCTTGGATATGAGGGTGTCACTTCGAAGTTTGATGTTGCTCTGTCCATCCTTCTAGTTAAGGCCACCATTACACCGCCTCTCCCTGAGGCGATTGAGACTATGACTCTTGACCAGCTCAAGAAGACTGATGTTCAACTCCAAGCTGAAGCTAGACCAAGGTAGACTTTTGCAGCTACATTCATGAAGATGAGATCTAATGTACATGACAACAGTTTTACAAACAATCTCCCTTATTCTTATTTCAGTGTTGCTCTCCAGACCTTTGCTGTGATGGGAGTGAACACTGCCTTGATCCAAGCTGCTGTTATGGCAAGAGGAAAGGTCCGTACTATTGTCCCTGGAAAAGTGGTAGCAAGAGCAGACATTCTCAAGGGCAACTACAAGGTGGAGGCTCTGCCTGTTGATCTTCCTGAACACATTGCTGATGTCAGGTACTGAAATATTAGTCAGACCAGTGTAGCAAACATTCTGAATCAATTCATAAACAATTCAGAAGGCTTCTAAAAGTGAAATTCACCATTTTTTTGTTCCAACAGCTTTGAGACTCTTGCTGTAGTTAGAAACATTGAAGAGCCCAACGCTGAGAGGATTGTTCCCTTAGTACCCGAGTCTGCCATGCAGAATACTCAGACTCCTGCTGATTATTTGGTAAATTTTGAACACACATGATCATACCTGTCAAGTATCCCGTTTTGGCCGGGAAAGTCCCGTATTTAACCCTTCTTTCCCGCCGTCCTCCCGTATTAGGATTTTCCCGTAAATCTCCCGTATTTTAACCTGCATTATTGAAAAATAATAATACCGCGGGCGAAAAACAAAAAACAAAAAAAAAAACAATCTGAGCTCTGTCACTAGCCTCGCGATAACTAACGTTCCAGGTACTGTAGGTGGCAGTTGTCGCGATGTTAGTGTGTGAGGTCAGATGATGAGTGACAATGCGGGGCAAACAAAAAACAAACAAAAACAGAGACGGATGATGGACGCTATGACAGAGCAAGGTACTCTTGCCAAAAAAACAAAACCCTCATGTACTAAATACCGTGATCAATGGGATAACGAATTTACTTTTCTGAAGAGGAGCAGGGTGGGGGACAGTCACGCGTTTTGTAACTGCGACTTTAGCATCTCACACAGGGAAGGAATGATGTATGTCGATCAGCACGAGAAAGGGTGTTTTAGCATGGTATGAAAGATTGTTACACAGAATAGGATGGCGTTAGACAACACAGAACTGTTTGCTCTACTCTCATGTAAAATTAACCACTCTGGCCCAGTCTACAAATACACTCCTTCCAAAACAGTTAATACAAAGTCTGCAACAATTTTTTTTCAATAACTCACTAAAAGAGTAAAGAAAAGTTATGTGAAATGAAAAGAAAAACTGCAAATGAAAAGAAAAACTGTAAAAGAAAAGCAATATGAAATGAAAATGTGTGGAATGAAAATAAAATGTAAATGTAAAGACAAGCAATGTTAAATGAACAGAAAATATGCAAATAAGCCTTTAAATAAATGCTCTTAATACCCTATAACGTTACCATACATAGGCCTATTAAGACAGGTGTTATAGCCTAAATGAAAAAACACACACACACACACACACACACATATATATATATATATTAGGGGTGGAACGGTACACAGAAGTCACGGTTCGGTTCATACCTCGGTTCAGACATCACGGTTCGGTACGATTTCGGTACAATGGAGGGATAAGCAAAACAAAAATGCAGAAAGCATTGTATTTTTTAAATAAGTTTTATTAATAAAGGCATAGAACCAGTTTATTTGTAGTGCACTGACAATAGTTTTATATAATTCGTTTATTAATAAAATTAATAAAAAGACAAAAAGACCTTGCGATATGTTTGGTAATTGTACCTGAATTAATTTAAAATTAATTTGCTATATTTCAGATAAATATATTTGTTTTCCTTAATTTTAATTAACATTATTAATTAACAATGTAACACTATTCTCATCTGAATTATAAATAATTGATTTCTGTATAAAATAATACTACCATTAAAAACACATTCGATTTTCTTTTTTAATCAATGTAGAATGTGTAAGATTAGTGCTCCGAGGACGAGAAATGAAAACCAATGCGATTATATGATGTACGTCTAAAAGATGGGACCCACATATTGTTTTGAAATGGAGTTGGATAAATATGTTTTGCTTTTAAAACAGTGTATGTGTGTGTGTGTGTGTGTGTGTGTGAGAGAGAGAGAGAGATTTTGGTTGGGTGACAGTTGTAGGTTACAGTTTGACAAGAGTTTACAGTGTGACAAAAGCACAATGTTGTGTTTTATTGCGAGTGTACACAAATATAAGTAAACACTTTGCAGGTTTAATGATCTGTATGAACAAAATGACGGAGTATGTTTTTTTTATGTTTCCACTGTTCGATCGCGGCCGGGCCTCTCTCTCACACACAAACACACACAGTCCAGCATTGCAATCTTGACATCGCAGCCTGTTCATTATGCGGTCACACCAAACGCGAATAGAGCGTTAAATTCGCGTCTATCGCGTCTAGTTCGACGCTAGTCCAAAGCGAATAGGACGCGCGTATAAAGCCAACGTTTGAAGTGAAGGCGCGTTCAGAGCTAAGCCGATGGTACAGATTATGTGTCCCTAAAGAACCCGCGTATCTAACATTAGTTCCGCATTACATTAATTAATTTTCACGCGAGTTTTATTTATTTTTATACCGTGTATTCTCCGTGTAAATTCGTGCACCGAACCGTGACGCCCGTACCGTTTCGGTTCGGTACGAATACATGTACCGTTCCACCCCTAATATATATATATATATATATATTTGTGTGTGTGCACACACACACACACACACACACACACATATATATATATATATGTATATATATATATATATATATATATATATATGTGTGTGTGTGTGTGTGTGTGTGTGTGTTTTCATTTAGGCTATAACACATGTCTTAAAATGTAAGGGATACTGGAGCTTGGTTGGGGTGGTGGGACTGCTCACGGTGGGCGCCGGAAAATTTCCCTTATTTTCAAATCCAAAACTTGACAGGTATGCACATGATGGATGTGTTAGCATTCTGAACATTCATTTGCTTTAAGTTTTAAAACAGCAAGGCATATAATACTTAATTATTCTTTTCAGTCCTCTGAAACACCAGATGAGACTCCTGTGAGAGCTGCTGCTCCATTTCACAAGACTCTCTGTCTTGCTGTCCCATACATTGAAATCAAGGGGTGCGTTGAGGTGCACTCTCGCAATGCTGCTTTTATCAGAAATTCTCCTCTCTTCTACATAATTGGAAAGCACTCAGCCCGTGCTGCACTGACAAGAGGTATTCATTCAGAGAAGATTACATTGATTAAACTAAAAAATTTGCAGACAAAATAATAATAGTCATTCTGGCTTTAGCTGAAGGTCCTGCAGTTGAAAGACTGGAGCTTGAAGTCCAAGTTGGTCCTAGAGCTGCTGAGAGGCTTCTTAAGCAAATCAGCCTCATTGATGAAGAGACTCCAGAAGGAAAGGCCTTCCTGTTGAAACTGAGGGAAATCCTGGAGACTGAAGACAAAAATGCGTCCGTCTCCTCTGAAAGCAGCAGTAGCAGCCGCAGGAGCCGCAGGAGCCGCAGCAGCAGCAGCAGCAGCAGCAGCAGTTCAAGCTCCTCCATGTCCAACTCTCGTAGGAGTAAGGTGAGGACGTGGAAGGTAGCGTGTTGGTTAAGTAGCCAATATTTGTCTCATAAATATATTTTTTTTCACTGAATCATTTTATATGGATTTTTAGACTGCCATGATCATGGAGCCCTTCAAGAAATTCCACAAAGATCGGGTAACTACTAAAAATACTATTTTTAATATCATTACTTTAGATTATATTGATTACTTATTACAAAACTTATTTTTGCTTGCAGTTCATGGCACCCCATGGTGCTTCAAAGGCAGTAAGCAGTGGAAGCACTGCATCTAGCTTTGAGGCTCTCCAGAAACAGGTGAATCAACTAGTGTCATTAATAACATATAATCCAAAGGTGACATTTTGTACTAAATTCCACTTAAATTGATTATGGTTTATGCTTTCAGGCTATATTCCTCGGAAGTGCTCTTCCACCTGTTTTTGCTGTCATTGCCCGTGCTGTGAGAGTTGACCACAAGCTGCTGGGCTACCAACTTGCTGCATACTTTGACAAGCCAACAGCAAGAGTGCAGCTCGTTGTTTCCTCCATCGCTGAAAATGACAACATGAAGATCTGTGCTGATGGAGCCCTGCTGAGCAAGCACAAAGTCACTGTGAGACTGGAACTATTATCGAAATTAATTTCTCAAGTGAAATAATTTACATCAATACCATCCTTTGAACACAAATGTCCTTCAGGCCAAGGTTGCTTGGGGTCAAGAATGCCAACAGTATGCAGTCACTGCTAAAGCTGAAGCCGGTGTCCTGGGCGAATTCCCTGCTGCACGTCTAGAGCTGGAATGGGAGAGGCTGCCAATAATTGTCACCACATATGCCAAAAAGTAATGTTCAGCAATGCTGAATGACAAATGTATTGTATAGTTTAGAAAATGGCACTGGATTAATCTGCTCTTCTTTGTGTATCCCTTCCCAATTAGGCTGTCTAAGCACATTCCTATGGCGGCTTACCAGACGGGCTTTAGCCTAGAAAGAGCATCGAACAGTGAGAAAGAGATTGAACTGACTGCAGCCTTGCCAAGTCAGAGATCCTTGAATGTCATTGCTAGGATTCCAGAGGTGAAATAGTTTTCAGTTAATTTGTGACTCTCACAGAGATATAATAAGAAACTTCAACAAATTCTTTTTGTTTCTGCTGCTCTAGATGACACTGTCAAGGATGAATATTCGTCTCCCTGTCGCTGTTCCCATTAATCCAGACGGAACTCTTTCCATTCATATCGATGAGGACATTCTCTCCTGGATCCAGAAACATTTCAAGGAAGAATAAGAAATGAATTACATTTTAAATTTTCACATTCATTTTAATTGAATACATTGCCACTGTTGTGATATATGTAATGTCATGCAATCTAATGTTAATAAATACCCTGCAAGTGTCAGAATTCTGCGAACTGATTTTATTTTACAATAATACTCAATACTCATAAACGTTTTTTTTTACACTTGACAATAATGTTCACAATTTATTCTTTAGTTATGAAACATATATATAATATGGTGACCGAGAGGGGATATGTTCGGTTTGCATAGTTTTGTCATGGTCACAACATATTAATTTGTGGGAATGTGATAATATGTCGTGGCCAAAAGATCATTTTGTCGAGGTAACGACAGCATTTTTATGTTGTGGCCATGTGATGTGAAGTCGTGGCTTTAAGATTTTTAAAGGGAAGGACATATTTTTCTTCTGGCCATGAATTCTTGATTCTTGAGGGAACAACATCAACTGTATTTCTTGTGGCCATGAGTTTAATGTGTAAACAAACCTGCGTGACCATAGCAACATGGGAATATCGGAAATGGATGTTAATAAATGAACATTTTATTCCAATAGTTTATTAGCAATAAATGTTAAAAGATTATGTAAAAACATAAAATAATATAGGCCTACAAGAAAACATTTTGATCCATCCCATTCCATGGCCTTTTAAATCCATTCAATGATCATGTCTTTTTTATTTAATATTTGTATATTAGGGTATTATTATTATTAAATAGGCCCCTATAGCCTATTGATTACTAGCTGAGATTGAATGAAATATATAGCCTAATATGATACATTCCTGTAAAGTGAACTTCCTGTACAATTCCCATTAAGTGCGCCTACAGAAGGGAAGTCATAGAATCAAGGCTTTATTGGCATGACTGTCGGACACAGCATTTTCAAAACATAGGCTAACCTCTATGATACTGTGAGTAGGCCTATAGATAATACAAAATCTTAATTGGGTGAAGAGACAATGAGATCAAGCGGACAATATATATATATATATATATATATATATAGGCTACAAATATATATATATATATCTGTCAGGATTATTTTTTGTTTTGTTGTCTTTTTGTTCCTATGTGTTTATTGTGCTTCAGTTCAGTTCAGCCTCTATTGTTTCCTAGTTAGTCTCCTTGGTAACTGATTATGTTCAGCTGTCTATCATTATATTTTCCCTGTTTATTTACTCACTGTTCAGTTCAGTTATGTTATTCTCTTATATTTCTCCAAGTTTATTAAAAGGAGTTATCGTGAGATATTCTGTGTCATGCATTTATTCAATACCACCATATATGTGACAATATCAGTGAATTAAAAATGGATTAAAAATACTTTAAGGAAAAAAAAAAAAAAATTTGTAGCTTGTTTCGTGATGTTTGTTCTGAGAGAGAAAAATCTCATGTAATATGAACGGCTCGAATCTCGTGTTCATTCTATCATTCAGACATTGCTTCACTTGTCTGGTGTTTATAGCTGCATTTAATTCTGATGAATTAAAATGATGGAATAATTATCTGACTTTGAGAGTTTAGATATCTAATTAATATAGTATATTCAGCATTCAGGTCATGCTTCACTTGCCTGGTGGTTATGGCTGTATTTAATTCTGATTAATTAAAAAGGTGGAATAGTCATTTGACTAAGCTTGGAGCAGAGCATGCATGGGCAGTTCTCAAGCGGGCTGCCTGTGTGCATTGTGAGCAGTTGCCGATTAGGATGCTCCGCTCCCGCCTGGCCATATTCGATGAGAGCAGCCAGGCTTGTGCTTTCCGCTGTTTGGGTCCCGTGTCTGCCGAGATGGTGCGGCGTCTCAGATTGTGGGGATCACAATTGGAGATGATAGATGTGTTCAAGACGACTTCGGCCCTTTCTCTACCCTCAAGCGCTCTCTAGAGGGATCCAAAAGCCTGCTCTGCGGCTTCTTCCACCACAAGCGAGAGTGGAAGATATTTGAGATATTTTTACAACGGTGTGGTTCATGAAAGCTTTCTGGAGTTTGAAGTGGCAGAACACCTGGATGCTGCCCCCTTAAGTGACAAGATTATATTCTTCCTTGAGAAGCTTGGGCTGGAGTACAAGAAAAACCTTGTAGGCTTGGGCTATGATGGCACAGCAGTGATGCGCAGGGCACATGCAGGTCTTCAAGCAAAAATAAAATAAGTAGCCAAACATGCCTTCTATGTTCACTGTAGTGCACAGTGCTTGAACTTAGTTATAGTAGATGCTGTAAAAAGTGTGGCAGATGCAGGAAACTTCTTCTCATTATTAGAACGACTGTATGTATTCATGTCTGGGTCTTATGTACATAACAAATGGCTCGAAGTGGAGTGGGAGATGTTTGATGGTGCACCAAGGGAACTCCAACAGCTAAGTGATACACATTGGACCTGTAGGCACATAGCATGCCGTAATGTTATGGACAGGTTGCCTGCAATAGTACAGGTGCTTGAAGAGATCGCATCTGAGAAACATCCACAAAGATCTGTAGAAGCAAGAGGGATACTGCTCAAATTGATCTGAATTTAGCTGGATCTCTTGTTCTGTTCAGCAAGGTCCTGAGTGACTCCAAGTTTTTATCAGACATGTTCCAATCTAAAACAGTGGACTATGCTAAGGCTGTTGAACTTATTGAAGCACTTAAAGAGACACTGGTCCAGTACCGTAGTCAAGCCTGTTTTGAGGAAATGTGGAGTGAAACACTTGATTTATGTCAACAAAGTAACATTGATACAGCTCGAAAACCAAAGAGGCCAAGACAGACAGCAAATGTGCTTCAGGATACTGTCATCCACTACACCTTGGGACAGCATGTAGTTCCAGATAGCAAACACACTTTTTGTGTCTCTGTGTACCATCCAGTTGTGGATAACATGATTGGAGAAATAGGAAGAAGATTTTCTAACACAAATTGTAACATTATGCAGGGTGTCCAGGCACTAAATCCGTCAAGTCCAACTTTTTTTAGAGAGGAGGCTGTTCTGTTATTGGTTGAAGCTTATGATTCAAATATTGAGGATCTCAAAAACGAGTTACATCAGACGAGGAGAGTACTAGACAGACAAAAGGGGGAAAAGGAGAGTCCTAGGGCACAGGCTGCCATTTACAAACTCATACAGACAAACTTAATCTCATGCAATCAATGTCTTGCATTTAAGGTTTCATGTGAAACAGTTCATATTAGGGATAAGTGACCATACAATGAGATCTCACTTAATAGGAGATAGAAGTATGATAGAAGTAAGGGGCATTATCACAGGAAAGGCATTAAGGTAAGACACAGGTGATAAGTGGCAGATGTGTTTTTGTGCCTCTCAGACTGTGTCAGAGAGGCACCGTTGCAGGCAACATTTGTACAAGAAGAAACTATACAAAGAAAAACTTACCCATAAAGATCTATGGACTGAGCTGTACTAAAGTAAGCATAAATACACTGTGGAAATAAATGGGTCACGGCACTCAAACAAGGTACTGGACATAGCTTTGTTTACTCAGAACAAACATTCTCCCCGTTTGTCCCTCAAACTTGAACAATTTTTTGACAGATGAGATTTTTCACTTTACTGAAAAAGTGATGAGAAATACAGTACAGTATCAATATTCCCAGCAGTTAAGGGGACATGAAAGGGATATTTTATGCATGTAAATATGAGCTGCTGTATCAACAAATCAACAAAAAGGCTCACAGAGTTACAAAGGGTATGTTACATCAAAATCTCCACAAACCTGAAAAGAAGTCACATAAAAATAAATTTTGCTCCAAGTCTGAAAAAGTACAAAAACATTTTGTGAGTAGGTTCAGGCCGTTTCTGGACAGTTTTATACTGTATATACAAAAGATGAAACATTAAAAAACAACAATAACAACACTGCTTCATGTTCAGCAGGATTTACAACATTTACACCAGTGTCACATTTTAAACATTGTTTCTCACACTTTTGGTTTTATTTAAGGTTCTCAGTTGCCAAAACAAAGAAATAAACACAGAAGTTTAAAGGGCAGATTCTGTTGAGGTCATCATTTTAACAGCTTTGTGAAGGTTCACCAGTGAGCATGACATGAAGTTGTCATGCCTATAACAGCTGAATGTGGCGATTTCTATGTTGCTCAGCAAAACGCTTCACAAATGTATCTAGATCTAATACCCTTGTGCGTTTTGATTCAATGCTGAGTACAGCCAAACTCGATAGTCTCTTTTCTGTCATAGTTGACCGCAAATAAGTCTTTATGAGCCTGAGAGATGAAAAACTTCATTCACAGGATGCACTGCTCACAAGTAAAACAACCGCTATTTTACACAACCTGAGCAACTCATAAAACACATCCTGGTATGGGTCCAAAAACTGAGTGAACTCCATTAGAGTGTAGTGTGCCTACATACTATTTCTCATCAAACTGTGATAATTGTGATTAAATTCAGTATATATACGTCTGCCATATGTTGCCAACCCTCAAAAATTCCTGCCCCTCTCTCGCCACACCATAAATATTTTTCTAGATCCGCCCCTGTGTACATTTTTCAGTTCCTCTGTTTGCCCTTGATAAGACCTATATGTTCAAGTATGAGACTCTGCTCTTCCTCAAGAAGGTCTGGCCAGAGCAGGAATGAAAGTCAGCAGCAAGGTTCACATCAGTGCCGTGACAGAGAACACCTTCATGATGAAGGTAATGACCATTAAGAACTGTAAACACTGTAGGTGTTCCACACTGACAGGAAACAAACAAAAAAAACATTATTAGCTAGAAATGGAAGCTTTAGCGTTAAGTTCTGCCGGGAAGACTCAATTGCTACGTCACTTATTACCTTCTCATCTATCCAATCGTGTCTAATACTTGCGGTATAAAAGACCAGTACTTACACATGTCTGAGTTCGCAGATGCTGACGCTTTCATTCATGCTCTCGTTTAGTCGCCAGCCAACATGTTTCAGGACACGCATATTGTTCTATTATTGAGTTCCGACGATGGATATGTCCCGCCGTATCTCCTGCTACACGTCGAAGTTCCCGCGATCAGTGCCGCATCTCCCCGTA